ATATATATATATATATATATATATATATATATATGTTTCCACTTTAGTTTTTAATCTCGTTATTTTTTTCAAACTTGGAAATATAACCTATAATTTTGTAGGTTTTATCTCATTTTCATTCTTTATCGACTATCTCTTGAAGTTGGATGTCTTAGTTTTATGTATATATTCCTAATAAACAATTGCATGAGATTCTTGAAGGTGCTATGAATTATTAAATTTTAATAATAACTTTTAGATAAGAAAATAAAAAAGTCGTATAAAATATTTTTTCTTAAAAATCGTTTATTGTGAATTCGCATGTATATATTAAAGAATATTTTTGTAATGTTAAGAGAAATAAGCACTACGTGAAACGTTAAGATATTTAAGAAATGTTGAATTTGTAAAAATTTGTGATTTAATCATATTTTCAGTTTTAATTAATTAATTAAATAATATACATTTTAAAATCTATTTTAAACTGCATTTGGGATATATAATCATTTATTAGTGTTTCCATAATAACTGATAATTTAAGGTTAAGAATAGCATGTTTTAACAAATATATTCGTGAGTTATAAAAATTAAAGACAATGTCTCTATACGACGATTTTGATAAACATAGAACATCAGAAAAAGTAGTTGGATGGTCATCCAGTATCAAGTTACTACAATCCCAATTACAATTAAAAAAAGCTGCCACTACACAGGTATATTATATGTAATAATGATTAATGATAATTTAAAATTATTATCATATCATATTTCTAGCCAAAACGTGAACAATATAGAAAAACAACAGCAGTATTAGCACCTGTGATAGATTTGAAGTCAAAAGCCAATAGAAACACAGAGAGGGAAGATGATGGGCCACATAATAATCCACTTTCTTCTAGTACTGTTAGCAGTATTGGAGTAGGTGGCGAATTTGATTGGAATGTAATAAATGAATATGATCCTATGTGGCCTAATGAATATGATAAAGTTGTTAAAGAACTAAGAGATTTACGTGATAGAGAACATGATCAAGAGACAGAAATGCGTAAACGCAGACGAGATAATTCACGTTTTGAAGATACACAAGTAATATATTAATTTTATTATATATGTGGCTAAAAAATGTAGAATATGTAGTTACTACTTTTTATAAATGATATAAATATTTGCTTCAGACTTCTTCTGGGAATAGTACAATGATTCCTCTTGAAAGAGATGAGGAAAGAACTCCTACATCAAGAGGTATTGCTGGAGGAGCAGCTATAGCACCACCACCTTCCTTGCAAGAATCTTCTGATCTTCCACCTCCAACGCCAAGACCACCAACTAACATAGGATATGCCACATCATCAGTAGCAGCAAAAATAATGGCTAAATATGGTTTCAAAGAAGGACAAGGACTTGGTAAAAAGGAACAAGGAATGTCTGTTGCTTTACAAGTAGAAAAAACTAGTAAACGAGGTGGAAGAATTGTTGGAGAAAGAGAACAACTTATGCCACCACCACCACCTATTGCTGTTTCTCCACCTCCAGCACAACAAATTGCTCCATCACAACCTTCAGAAGAACCTAGCATTACTGAAATAATGAAATGTCCAAGTAAGGTAAGAAAAAAAATATCTCCATTTTTCATAAAATATATATTTAAAAAGTAGAGTACATTGAAAGTTTTTTAATTACAAAATATACTATTAATTAGGTTGTATTATTACGTAATATGGTTGGCCCTGGAGAAGTGGATGATGACCTTGAACCTGAAGTTAAAGATGAATGTAATACGAAGTATGGTGATGTTGCACGTGTTATTATTCATGAAGTAACAGAAGCTGCTCCAGAAGAAGCTGTTAGAATCTTTGTGGAATTTAAAAGAATAGAAAGTGCTATTAAGGCTGTTGTTGATTTAAATGGACGCTTTTTTGGTGGAAGACAAGTTAAAGCAGGTTTTTATTCCAGTGAAAAACTTGATAGCTTACAGTTAATGGACTAATTTTTTATTTAATGATTTTACTTAATAAATGCAACTTAAGAAATACAACAGCACGAAATTGATATGCTGATTGTTATGTTAAAACAAATAAATCATAATTTTATTAAAATATTTATATTAAATGTATGAAATTTATGGTTATTTAAAGTAAAAAACAAGAAGTTAAAAATCTACATAATAATCAACATAATGAGAAATATTTTAATTTATATCCTGCTATGAATAATTACATTTTTTTTTATAAATAAATCATTTTTTAAATTTAATATAAGATACACGCACAATAAATATAAATAATAAATAGTAGAAATTTTTAATTTTCATAATAATAAAAAATATTAAATAAAGTTAAGTCTTCAATATTTTAAAAAGTAACATGAAAAAAATAAACAACATTTTTGTGATATCACAAAATAAAATAATTACTATACTAACAAATAATGCAGGAAGTTATAATTCCATTGTAATTAATTTAAGAAGTTATAATAAAATTCCTATATTAAAAATATGATAATGAAAAATATTGCAATATATTTTATTAACAAATTGAAATTTATAGATAATTCTTATTCTTTTATTAATACTTTCTTATTATTTATTTACAAATCAATGATTATAATATTACTTTACTTTCTTTTTGTTAATTAAATCTTCAATTATTTTGTTTAATTTAGCACTAAATGCAGCAAAACTAAAAGTTTCCATAAATCTAACTTTGCCTGCATCACCAAATTGTTGAACATATTCTGGATTTTTAATTAAATCAGCTATCTTCAAAGCAAATGCATTACTAGATAAATCAACTAAAAATCCTGTAATTCCAGAAATAACAGATTCTTTTGGACCACCAGAATTATGTGCAATTACTGGTTTACTCATATACATTGCTTCAAGTGGTACAATACCAAAATGTTCATTTTGGGGTGTATATAATAAAACCATACAATGATATAAAATAGATACTTTATCAAGATCTGAAGGGGAACGAAGAAATATTACTTTATCTGTAACATTTAATTCATCAGCAAGCCCTATTAATTCCAAATAATGTTCTACATTTTCTTCAACTCTTTTATCATATCCACCAGCCATAATTAAATATATTTTTTTGTATTGTTCTTCTGTTAAGTATTTTTGAAGCTCTGCCAATACTTCTATTGCTAGCCCCAAATTCTTTTTACGTTCATATCTATTGATAGATAATAATATAACACTATCTATTGGTAACTTTTTGTCAAGTACTCTTTCTAAAGATACTATTCGGGCTTTATCAAAATAGTCTGTGTTAACAGACGGATGTAAAACTTCAGGTTCAATAGTTAGTCTCTTAAAAGTGTCCTTAAACACTGAACGTGTATATAGACTATTTACAAGTATTTTATGCGCCATTCCAGTTGTTATTTCTTCCAGATAATTAAGGGATATACGATATAATTGTTTACTGAGTCCTTCTCGCTGTGAAAGCAATTGATCTGGATAATGGCAATAAAAAATTATATGAGGAATTCGTAATCGAAGAATAGGAATGCACACAGATACCAGATCACAGAATACAACGTCTGGTCTGTTTTCAGAAAAAATGATATAGCTAGCTGCATATATCTAAAAAAAAAAAAAAAAAAAAAAACAAATCAATATGTGAAAATCATTTATAAAAAAACACATCTTAAGAAATAAGCTCACCATACGAATATAAGCAAATAATGCAAAGAATCTGCCCAAGATATGTCTGGGCAACCAATCTCCCACAACTGTAACAGGAATTGTTCCATCTTTTGTTTCAGAGAAACTGTGTACCGGATCGTGATGGGTTGTCACGAAATTAATCTCATAACCTTGTTTTTTTAAGGATAATGCAGCATCAACTACCAATCTTTCTGCTCCCCCAATACCAAGATCCGGATGTAAAAATGTAACTCGTGTCATATTTATTAACTTAATAATATTAAAAATAACATTTATGAAGAAAACAACAAAATCCAGTACTCTACAAAACTACCGATTTGTAAAATAGTGTAACACTTGTTAGTTCTTTAAGACCTACTTTCAACGTAAGTCAAAGTCATAATACTGGAGTCATAGAAATCATCAAAAGAGATTAGCTGAATATTTGACGAAGTTAATTCACGAAATTTTCATATGTTTACAATTAGCAGAAAAATATATGTTATTGAAGGCACATGTAGAGATATAAGTGTGTACTCTGTATAAAATTACATGTAATTTGTTGACAACAAAAGAAAGCGAACGGTTTCATAGTTTCTTGTAAAGTGAAAGGTAAATATGTCAATTTGATCTTGATAATATTTATTATCAATTATGTCAAATATTATGAAGAGCATTCTTGCGGAAAGTTTAAAAAAGTGCTTAAGGGAATTGTTTTGCTTAATGGATACTGATATTGACGGTTATTTAAATTATTATGAAACGAAATCTGCATTGAAAGCCTTAGGTTTCACAGTAAAAAAGTCTTATGTTTTAGCTATTATACGAATGTATGACAAACGTGGTTATAATAAAATTTCTTTCAATGATTTTAATTATATTGGTGTGTGTGAACAATATTCTTCAGAAAGTATATAATAAGCAGTGCATGTTTAATCAACATTAATCAAATTTTAATACTTGCATAGTGTCAGAAAAGTTAAGTAAACGGAAGCCTCTAGATGAAATTAAATATGTATTCAAGTTATTTATAAATGAGTCTGAAAATGATAAAATAACAATAGAAGATCTGCAAGAACTTAATAAAAAGCTTGATTGTGATCTAACTCATGAGGAAATGGAACTTATGATTAATGAATTTGATGTGGATCAAGATGGTTCCAGTAAAAAAAAATTTCACTTTGAATTAATTAAATTATGGAAAAATTTCAATTTGATCGTTTATTTCGTTCATTTTATATAATAAATAACTTTGCAAATTGTACTTTCAGTTGACCAAAGTGAATTCCTGGATATTATGACAGACTTCAAAATTTGAAGGATCTTTCTTTCTATTGAAAACATATTTATCGACACATTCATAATGAATTTTGGAGTTAATTGGGAAGAAGAACATAGAAGAACACTATTAGAAGGAAATGCAGCATTGGAACGTTCTTCGCAATCCATTATTAGATCTCAAGCAATTGCTATTGAGAGTGAGCAAATAGGGACAGAAGTAATTTCTGAACTGAGTGAACAAAGAGAGAGATTACTGCGAGCAGATAGAAGATTATCCCAAACAGACGAAGAACTAAATAAAACAAGAAGGATATTAAATGTTATGAGAAGAAGGATTTTAATGAATAAATTTATATTAATCATAATTATATTATTAGAAATAGGTATACTTGGTGCTATTATATATAAGAAATATTCATAATATTATATATATATTGTATATAAACGTATATATACATATAAATAACACTTTATATGTATATATATGCACAAGCATTCACTGTACACTTATTTTTATTTACATTCTGTGTAATATATAATGTGCAATATATGTGCGCACATTATACATTGTTATGTTTCTTTGTTGTCATATTGTAATTATTATTTTCCAATGAATTAAATGTAAAACAGCAAATGTGTTACAGTCTGATGTAATTTTGAACGATTAATGTACCATGTACTATGAAAATACACGGTAGGAAATGAGAGCTACCAACCATAGACGGTAATTATCGTAAATATATATACGCATATAATATCATTGCATGACTGTGTATCCTTCATTATAATATTTAATTGTAATATGTCTAATGTTCTAAAAGCAATGCGAGAACATTACTTGCTTTTGGACAAGAAAAATAAATCTTCGTAAGATTATAACGTTTGTTTTTAATGTTGCCAGCGCGCGGACGACTAAAGCGCACCACAACGCAACTATCTTGAACTAATGTCGTGTAGTTGAACAGTTATTGTTCTCGTCTGTGGTTGAATCTGGTATTTAACAGTTATCGACGGGGCAGACTGGAAATTAGAACGATTGAGGAGACTAGGAGAATCTTTAGCATTTTGTGAATTAATAGATGATCGGGTCATGGCGTATGTTAATGTGGCTGAATGGAAAACTGAGCAAGTGTGCGAATGGTTGAAAGGTGCGGAAAACTTAATTTTCTTTCGGTTCAGCGCGCATATTGATGGATTTAAAAAAAACGAATACATTTCGTAACGTATAGAAATAATGTGTATTGTAAAAATTTACGTACGAAGATCTTACAGTATACACCCGCACGTCTCTCTTCACCCCTCTTCCCTCTTAATCAGTCATTTCGTTGCATGTATAAATGCAGTGTTGATTTATTCAATTGTTCATTACAATCGTATAGTTCATAAGTGATATGTTATTGTAAAGAGAATATTTAATGATCTTGATCTTTTTGAATTTTTTTCCAGCCTTTTGAAATTTTAAAAAATTTTCGTAATTGCAATATTTTTGTTTATGTCATCTACATTTATAAATAACTATCGCAATTTTATTATTACCTTTTTGTTATTGTTATTTTTGGAACAAAGAAAATACTAAATGAATAATGAGTAAAACATTACAATTTCAGTTTCGTATTTTTTTTCCTTCTTAATGTGGTTGAATCTTTTAGAAAAGAAAACTGATTCTTGTTTCAGGTTTGGATAATTCTGTTCTTCCCTATGTACATAGTTTTACAAATCATGGTGTCAATGGACAACAGTTGTTAAATTTAAGGCCTGAAGATCTAGAACATCTTGGTGTATTAAAACTTGGTCACCAGGAAATTATTCTTGAAGCTGTAGAATATCTGAGGAATTTTCATTATGAACTTGATCGTGAAAATCTGCAATTATTGGCACTACGATTATCTTGTCAGGCTCACAGTTTACAAAATGAATTATCTCATCAGACAGATTCAAAGCCTGTTACAACTCAAACATTATCTGATGTAGCATCAGTTATAATGGCTGTAAAACCATTAGTAAGGTGGCTTGATCGACCTCCCTTTAGTGGACAATTAGAGTATAATGATAAAAAAGTTGAATTAATGAAACTAGCTTTGGAAATGGCCACATGTGCACAGAGAGATAGATTTGCAGAAAAACCAATAGAAGAAATTAGAAAAATTTGTGGACAATTAGCAAAATTGGCAGATTATGTAATACAAGATATTGCTGATCCTATGATACTACAACCTGCTAGTTTAGATTTGGCAACATTAAAAAAGAAACCAGGAGATGATTTAGTAAGTTTTAAGATAATATTAATTCTTCAAAACAAAATAACTTTCTTTCATTTTATTTTTATTTTTAAATAATTTTATAATGAATATAAATATAACACAATAAAATAACACATATCATAGAGTAATATGTTTTATAATCATTGTGGAGAAAGTTATCTGCCACATCCTTTAATGATAAAACTTTGACCATTGATTCAACACAAATCTAACTTCCTATTTAGATAATTTAATTCATAGTCATATAGTAGAAGTATTGTGGTAATATAACTGTTTTATAACATATAAATCATTAAAATTAGGAAATATTTTTTTTTATAGGGATTTTATATTTTACCATCTTTTCATGGAGCTCATCAAATTGCTGAAATTAAATTTGGATCAGCTGCACATCAGTGTGGTAAAATGGAAGAAGGAGATGAAATTGTCCAAGTAATTTCTTTTTTCGCAAAATAATTAAAAAAATTTTAGAATTTTTACTTAACTTTTAATTTTTTAATTTAATTTTGTAAAGAAAATTAATTTAATTTAAATATTTTTCTAGGTAAATTATCAGACTGTAGTTGGTTGGGAACGGAAAAATCTTTTAGAATTATTTCGCGAAAGTCCGGCAGAAGTATTATTAACTTTAAAACGTAGACCAAGACATACAAAAATATATGGCCAAATTTACATAAAACCATATAGACTTCCAAGCAATAAAAAAACATCTTACACAACACGATGGCAACATAATCTTCCTTCACCAAGACCAGAATTGTTAACTATACCAGATTTTACAATGCCATTACCAAGGTATATATATTATTCGCACATTTATATTTCTATAAAAATATGAAATTTCATTCTATATGATACATATTTGTTTAGGCCAAAGAATCCCAGTCCAGAACCTACAAGTATTCTAGATACTGTTAATATACTAGATACAATGATTATAGATAGTAGCGACTCGGACAGTGAAACAGAACCACCTTTATCAATTCGATTATATTCTACAAAACCAAGAAATTCAGTTCAAAGACGAGCTACTATAACTGGTGCTAGTCCAACTTCCAAGCATGGAATTGATATAGAACAATTTTGGAAAGAATTGAAACAAGAACATAGTACAACTTCTCAATTACGGGACAAAGCAGCATCTTGTGCTCATGGTTTAGATAATGTACCATCTAATTTACGCCCACAAACATGTATATCTATAGAACAAAGCAAAAGAAAAAGAAGAAATGATGAACAAACTAACGATAAGAAAGTACAGTTTCAAGATAAACCTATGAAACATGATGTTCCTCAAATAGATAATACAATCAACGTAATAAAGGATGAATGTAAAATTACTGAAAACTGCGAGGAATTGTGTAGTAATACAAATACATCCAGCCAAATTTCTTTAACATCTGCTAATGTTACCAATAACAATAACTTGAGTGATACATGTGTGCCTTTAGATGAATGCAACAATTTTATTAGAGATAGTAATAGTAAAAATACGATAAGCAATAAAGAACTTAGTATATGTAATGGTAAAGAACGAGGAAGATTAGATAAAAGTCACAGTACGCCAGCATACGATTTAATGGATGACAATATAGAAGATACAAGACAAAAGTTTCATGTGCTAGAACTGTCTACAAATAATGTAAGCAATGTATCAAGTAAGACTGATGTTCAATTGACTATCGCAAGTTTTGAAGATCAACAAAAATTAAAAAATGTTGATGAAAAAAAACAAAGTATGGAAATAAATTTTGATAGTAATATTGTTCAAAAATATAATGATACTGATAAATTATATATGCAAGATAAGGAAAAAAAGCAATGTTCTAAATCCTCTGAATATTTAGACTCATTTAAAAATAAAGTAACTGATGCAACTCATAAGATCAGTATAGAAAATAACCAAAGCAATAATGAATGTATTAGCACTGATGTAAATAATTATGACAAAAAGAATGTAACGAACAGTTTAAATGTTGAAATGAAAAATACATCGAAAGTATGTAATACTCAAAACTTTGCAAATAACTCAAATTCTAATCATGAAACTAACGAAGATAGATTGGAATTAATAAATAGTTTTGTACAAAATAGTGAAGAAAATAATTCAGATCTAAATAAATTTGAAAAGATTCTTCAAACATTTAATGGACCAAATCATTGTGATTCGATGGAACATAAAAAATTAATGGAGAAAAAGTCTAATATATCAATAAAAGAAAATATGCAAGTTCAAAGACAAATATGGACAAATAATGATCTAAATTCTACTGAAGATAATAAACAAATGTATAATGATATTGCTAATAATATTACTCGAAGCATTCCTCAAATTCAGGTCTGTCAAAAAGTACAGAATGATAATACAAAAAATGAAGATTTAATTACTCAAGAAAATGCAGTACAATTGTGCAAATCTGCAGAAATAACAAAAACTGAATTTAGTAAGAAGCTAGAAAATAAACCTCATCTAATTCCTCCAGATCCGCCTCCACGTAAATACTATTCGAAGTTAACAATGGATTCATTAAGTAATACTTCAAAAACATTTGAAAATCAAGAAAAATCTTGTATAACGGAAAAAGTTAATACTAGAAAAGATCTAAAAAGTGTGGAATATTATACGGAAAATCATATCAAAAGTACCTTAGATCATCAAGATAAACAGGATTATTTTGATGTTTGTAATAGTTTTACAGAAAAATTAGAATTTATTGACGATATAAATACTCTAGATAATGAACGTAGACCTAGTTTAAACTTAGATTCTGCATATTTAGAATATAATGATAAGCAAACAAAGGAAAATAAGTTTATCTGTGATAAGTATGAACCTATTGTTGAGAAATCTGTATATACCAATTTAACAATGGAATACCATGATATTGAATCTTATTCTCAGAATATGGATTCTTCAGATGGTTCATGCTCTTCAAAGCATCTAGATCATAAATCTAAAGTGTCTGAAAAAGAAAAAAGTTTTGAAAAAGGTGTGGTTAATAAAGCTATGATGGTCGCTAGAAGTATTGGATTACATGGAAGTTTAAGTAAATCTTCTAGTAGTAGTCCCAGAAGTAATAGAAAACGAAGTATATTATTTGCAAGTAAATAATTAATACACTAATTTAATACTAATTCAAATTTTAATTTTAAATTATATTTATTAATTTTCATATTATTTTTAACTAGGAAAAAGAAATATTTCTGTTAAAGATATAGGCACAGGTGATTTAGAAGGATGGTTAACATATCGCACAAGAGGCGCTGGAGGTGCTTGGGCGAAAGCTTGGTTTGTTTTAAAGTGTTCTTCCTTGTACAGGTTCGTTAATTAAATTTTTATAGTTACATATTTATCTTACAAAATATTTATTTAATTATATCTTTAAGTATAGGTTTAAAACTCAAAACAGTATGAAAGCAGACTGTCTCATAGCTTTAACAGGATTTACCGTATCTCGAGCTGCCGAAGTAAAATCAAGAAAATATGCGTTTAAGGTTTACCACACAGGAACGGTATTTTATTTTGCTGCAGACACTGAGGATTTTCTTGCCTTATGGGTAGATGCAATTAACAAAGCAACCTTAGGTGCGGATGGTCACAGTAGAAACAGTGCTCTTTTTAGTGAAACTGACGAAAGCGATAGCGAACAAAAAAATAAAACTAAAAATGTCCATACTTTAGAATATAAACTGAACTTCGACAAATCATTCGGATCATTAAAAAAAGTTGTTCGTAAAGATTCTCCCTCGTATAGGGATCATGAAATCAGTGGTGCTAGTTTAGATAGAAAATATCTAAAATTTCTTGGTGCAAGAAATCACAATGTACCTGTTCCAACTGCACAATTTAGAAGTTATAGAAGAGTTCTTCCTACATCTACGCCTAATAAGTAAGAGTTAATATAGAGTATTTCATTTAAAACAAAGATAAAATATGAATTTTTTTCAGGAAACAAGACTCTGTTCCAAATTCGCCAGATTTACAAATGACAATTGCAGGAAGTACATTTTATGGATTATGTGCATCTCATAGTGCTACTGATATGTCAAATAATACTCAAGATATGGGTGATTACAGGCGTACTACAGACAGGTAACGATTTGTATTGCATGCTGTAGAACTAATATCAATTTTGTTATATTATATAATTTTACTAAACTCAAATTATTATGGTTTTATATTTTCTTATGGTATACAGGCATAGAAATAAATTTTTTAACTAAAAAATGATAATAATTAAAAATATTGTTATATTTTGAACTTTATAATAAAATAATTAATTAAAAATATTGACTGCATTTATTTTACATGTATATATGTATATATG